CAGACAGAGAGAGAGAGAGACATAGAGACAGAAAGCGAGAAATCACCCCCCAGAGGGGGTGGTTACCCCACAATCCCTTCTCCTCCGTTCTTCTCTCGGGATCTTGGGCATGCACGCACACGCGCCTGGCATGAGTTTTAAGCCACCGGGTCCGGGACACAAACCACAGTCGACTACGTGGGAGTCCAGCAACATAGCCATTACACTAACTGCTGGTTCCCCCAGATCAAGTTCTGAGACTTGTTTGATCAATCACAGGACCACAGCCCCAGCCTCATCTAGATATATCCAGTTATAGGCTATGGGGGTCTCTCATGTTCTCTATCACACATTCACTAATGCACCAGAGCTCTGGATTCTTTAAGAGCTTGCTACTTGAAAACTATTAAAAGACCCTCTGCACTACCTCCATACAGGTGCACTGAATGTAGCTGCCCCTTCCTGATGCTCTTCCAGACACAGCACCTGCTGCTTCCATGTTGACCCACAGTTCCATTGGACACCATCCCTGTGGGCCATGCAGATATCACAAGAAGATTCCTCTCTTTTGTTGATTTTTATACATTGTTTCAAAGCAATACTGCCTCTCTTGCCTTTTTCTGCATTCCTTTTCTCTGTAGAAAGTCAGATCTTGTTCTTGGGAAAGCAATCCTTTCTATTTCTTTCTTTCTGTCTGTCTGTCTTTCTTTCTTTCTTTCATTTAATTTCTGTAGTTCCTTGTTCCCCCATCCCTCCTTTATGCTACAACTGTGTTCACCTTTCCAAACAGACCTCATGAACATATCAGCACATGCTTATGAAACAGGAGTGGTAGAAGGGAAGAGTTGTGGGGGGAAATGGATAATTTCATGATCCAGGAAATATAGAAGAAAGCTATCTTGGCTCTCTTGTATTTCTTGTAGCTATTTTGTATGGCTATCACCAAATACCTGAAACTGAGTAGTTTATAATGAACACTTATTTATCTGGCTCATGGTTCTGGAGGCTGGAAAGTCTGCAACTGGAGAGCTGCATCTGGTGAGGGTCTTTCTACTGCATCATAATGTGACAGAAGGCATGAAAGAGACCAAAAAGGGGCTGAACTCATATTTATAAGAAACCTATTCACACAATGATCAACTCACTCCCATGATAACGACATTGTTCCATTTATAAGAGTAGCATCTTCACCATCTAATCACTGCTTAAGGTCTTCATTTGTTGGCACCATTGCATTGAGAATAAAGTTTCCAAAACATGAATTTTGGGGCACACATTGAAATTATAGTAGGACATAAAGAAATGGAAAATTCTTTAAAACAAATAAATAAAAACAAATAAAAGTGGAAAAACCTCTGGGATATTGATCAAGAAAAGAAGAGAGAAGACACAAGTAACACTACAATGGAAAAAAAGGTAAAACTAAAGACAAAATTAAGATTAGAATGATTAAGAGAAAATATCATCAACGTCTATATGCTAACAATTTTGACCAGTTGGACAAATGAATGAATCCCTGGAAAAGTGATTTGCCAGAGCTGACTCAAGAAGAAATGGAAAATTTTGAATAGCCCTATAGCTATTAGAAAACCTGAAGTGATAGTTAAAAATTTCCTCTCCCTAAAAAATTTCTATGTGTTTGTATGTATATGTATATATGTGAGGGTATATATATATGTAAATATGTATGTGTGTATATATACATATATATATACATACATTGGTAGAGTGTATGTATGTGTGCATGTATACACATATATTATATATACATAATCCAAATGGTTTTACAGACACCTTTCAGCAAGTAACTGATCATCCGACTTTAAAAAAAAAATTCTTCCAGAGAATAGAAAAAGAAAAAAATACCTTTCAAATTATTTTATAAGTACCACCTTATAATAAAACAGAAAGAGTGCAAAAAAAAAAAAGTGTGCAGGCTAATTTCACTTAAGAATATAAATACAGGTGTCCCAAAGTATCTCTTAGCAAACTGATTACAGCAGAGTATTTAAAAATAATACTAGATGGAAAGATGAAAGGTATAAAAGGACTTTAGAAAGTTCATGGAAAATGAAAGTATACCTTATCTTAATGTAAAAGATTTTGAAAACAATGCATACTTTTTTCATAATATGCATTTTCCATGAAACTTTTGAAGAATCCTTACTTGTAATTTGATCCCTTTTAACCCATAAATGTTATTCATTATATTGACAAGTTGAATGAAAAACTATGGTCATGTCAATAGGTACAGCAAAAAAAAAAAAAAAAAATTAGGGACCAGCAGTTAGCATAATGGCTATGTCGCTGGACTCCCATGTAGTCAACCGCAGTTCGAGTCCTGGACCCGATGGCTTAAACTCATACCAGGCAGGCGAGTGTGCGTGCCCAAGATCCCGAGAGGAGAATGGAGGAGAAGGGATTGCGGCATGGCCATCTCCCCTGGGGGATGATTTCTCGCTTTCTATCTCTCTGTCTCTCTATCTGTCTGGTGAGCGCACATGCCCTATAGCAAAAAAAAAAAAAAAAACCGCTCAAAAAAAAAAAGTCACACACGAGTAAAAGATCAATTAAAAATGGAAGATAAGAGAAAAAAATGCAAGATAAGGGGCCAGCAGGTAGTGTGGTGGTTGAGGGCGCTGGACTCCTACATGGTAGACTGTAGTTCAAGTTCAAGTCCCAGACCTAACGGTTTGTTTTCTCACTTCCCTGCTCTCTCTCTCTCCCCCTCTGTCCCTCTCTGGTCAAATTTAAATAAATAAATAAATAATGTTAAATAAAATAATTCTTTTTTAAAAAATGCAAGATAAGCCAATTAATTACAATGCCACAGAGGGTAAAAAGTCCATTGATACATTATCAGATTGTTCACTGCTCCTAATCTTTAATATTGGGTTGTCGGAAAAGACATGACACATTTTTACATAGAAAAATATGTCGTGACTTTTCCAATGACCTAATAAACCACCACTTATCAAGTTTGTATATAGTATCAAAGATTATGAACAGAAAAGGCTATTAAACTTTCCCTCCCTTTTATAATTACCTATCTGTATAAGGATGGATTTTTTTATATAGTTCACACAAAACAATACATCACTAAAAGATAACTGTAAAAGCAGATGTGAGAATCCAGCTATTTGCTATTATGCAAAACACGGAAAAGATTTTTTTTAAATGTTACACAGTTCTTGCTTAATTTTTGTTTTAAAAAATATAGATCTTGGAAAAAATATATATAGATCTTGGGACTAGCAGTTAGCATAATAGCTATGTCACTGGACTCTCATGTAGTCAACCACGGTTCGAGTCCTGGACCCAGTGGCTTAAACTCACGCCGGGCACATTTGCGTGTGTGCCAAAGATCCCAGGAGGAGAATGGAGGAGAAGGGATTGCAGCGTGGCCATCCCCCCTGGGGGGTTATTTCTCGCTTTCTGTCTCTCTATCTCTGTCTTTCTGGCGAGCGCATGTGCCCTATAGCAAAAACCTCTCAAAAAAAAATATATATATATGTATAGACAGATAGATCTTTTAATTTAAAATTCTACTTATGGTTCAGCTGCAGTGGCACAGGTGGTAGGACACCACTGGGCAACACTAAAGCCACATGAGAAGCACAGGTTCAGATCCAAGGATAACCTGAATATGCCAGATGTACCAACCATCTCAAGATGCCTGTGATTCTGGCTGTATGAAAGGCTGGAGTGGGGATTGTGGCATGGCAAGACTCTGTCAAGGATACCTGTCTTTCTCTCTCTTTTCCTCTCTCATAAAATCAATAAAAATAAAACTTTTTAAAGAGATAAAAATTATATGTATGATAACATGTACCATGTGTATTATTGTTTTTAAATGTATTAATAAAGAAAGATTTAAAATATCTTCCTAATATGAAAATATTGATAGATAAAATCCATATAAATAAAGTTCTCTGGGTCCTTAAAAATTATAAAAGGGCAAACATATCCTGAGACCAAAAGTTTGAGAACTATTCTCCTAAAATATAAACATACTTGAAAAGTATTCACAAGAAAACATGGAAAACATGGGCCAGCTCTATAGCCTAAAGGAAGCTAGATTCCACATAGCTGACTATGGTTTGAATTCTGAATGTGGTGGCTTGGAAAATTATCAGGCACCTATCATGCATGCCCAAAACCCCAACAGAAGAAATGGAAGAGAAGGAATTGCAGCATGATCATACCCCATCGTGAGAAAGAAACCCAATTGTAGGCAAGCCCAAAAACAAATTAGCCAACTATCTTAATCTGTTTTATGTTGTTATAACAAAGTGCATGAAATCAAGTATTTTATAAAGAACAGAAATGTATTTCTCACAGTTCTGGCGGCTGGGAAGCCCAAGATAAAGGCACCAGCTCATGAGAACTTGGTTTCACAGCTTCCAAGATGCTACCTTGTTACTGCAGCCTCCCGGGCGGAGGAAGGCAATGTCTTCATGTGACTGAAAGTCACAGGAGGGTAAAAGAGCTAAATGCAAGCCAGCCAAACTCTGCATGAAGATTCTTTGATAAAGGCCTTAATCCCATTCGTGAAGGAGACATCCTCACCTCCTAAAGGTCCCACCTCTTTTTTCATTTTTGTTTTTCACAAAAGATTTTTGCTATAGGGCACATGAGCTTTGCTGGAGAGACAGAAAGTGAGAACTCAACTCCTAGGAGAGATGACCACGCCACA